GAAACTGAGTGGGATTGATCTCCTAAATTACATAGATGGGGATCCATTTGGTGTCCACCAACATCTGCATTATATTACACGGAAGAAAACGGTAGGCCATAATTCAATGGCGCATTATCGCGACTATTTTCAAGGATTTGTCAATCATGTCGGCTAAGGATGAAAGCAAACGGTGTATTAATTATATATTTTTTAAGTTTGTATTAAAAAAATATAAAAATTAATTTTATTTTTAATAAGAAACATAAAAATTAATTTTATTTTTAATATTAATAATATGTGTAATTTTAATTAAATAATTAATAAAATTAAAGTAAAATATTATTTTTAATAGTGATTATTAAAAAAGAGATTATGTCTTGATATTAAAAATATTAATATGTTTAATTACAATTATTAACTATATGAGATATTGTATGTGTATTAATTTTATTAAATTTATTATATAATAATTATTAAATATTTTAATATTTTTAATACCAAAATATATATTTTAAAATATATAATTAACACACGCGTTAGAAATACCTTAATTTCCATACCAAATATTTTCTTTTACTGTTTGGTCATGTTCTCCCAATTGGATTTGGAGACTTGTACCACTTTCGCGGAATGCGAAAAGAAAAGAAATTTATGTTAGGTAAAATGTACCACTAAATTCCTAGTTGAATGAATAATGCGCCACTCTTCTTCGTGATGCGGCAAACGTTGACTAAATAGAAAAATGAAAATTATTTCATTGGGAGACACACTCATCATTTTCATGTACACAACATGCGTCGATCCGGATTAATTTGAGACGAAACCCAGATACAGGTGAGAAACCAAAAAAGAAAAATGAAAATTATGGTGACTAGTGAGTGAGTCATGGATGCGTAATTAGCCTAATTACTTATTTGCATCCAAATATTAGGTGTCATAATTTGGGAAATTATAATAAAATTTGAAAAGAAATTAAAAGGAAGTGGATAACAATTAAACCATTATCACACTGCACAATAAATTATGTATTTGAAGGAGTTTTTCTATAAACGAAAATATATAAATAATATTTTTAATTTATAATTATAATATAATATTATATGTATTTAATTTTTTTATTTTATATATATAATAATAGATATATTGACTTATTTAATTATATATTATAATTATAAATCTATAATTTTATGTGATATTATAATTATAACATTATTATTTTAAAAATTATGATGTTTTAAACACAAAAATTCTAATTAATAAGGTTTTTATAAGTTTAAATTCATATTATACCACTCATCTGTGTTAAAAAGAACTTTTTTTTTTTCTAGAAAAGAACTACTTAAAGACCACGCAGGGGGAAGATCGCACGAAATTATGCCTGAATTTGTGGATGTGCATCCTTAGAATTTTCAACTTACC